GGATATATCGTATCGTGACCCCTCTGTCATGATATGTACCGTATCGCCAAATTCTTGCCAATACACAGCCCTAAGCCCTACTTACCATTGCTGGTTTCAGCTTCCTTCGGCTTCTGTTCAGCTGCTCTTTTAGCTGTCATTCTGACCTTTTCTGGTATCCTTCACCTAATTACAACTTCTTCAATGTCTTTTGGCTATGTTAAGCTTCTTTTAACTTCTTTCTTCTAATTTCAGCTGTTTTCTGTGTTTTTAGCTACTTCTAGGTAATTTGAGATTTTTTTCAGCTAAACTCTTTTTGCGATCATTTTAGTTTCTTAATGCTTAATTTAGCAAACATGCTCTTTCTGTTTCTTTATGCTAATTGCAGCTATATATTTTTAGCTGTTTTTAGGCTAGTTTCAGCTTTTTTAGTTATCATTCTGACCTTTTGTGCTACTTTTCCACCAAACTAAAACTTCTACTTCTGCCACTTTAATTTCTTATTGTGTTCTTTTCACCTTTTTTTCTGCCCCTTTCAGCTATATTTCTACTCGGTTCACTTTGTGTCTGCATATTTCTGTGTTTTTCAGCCATTCTGCCCCTTGAACATTTGATTTTCACAGAGTTCATCAGCAATCATTCAGTTTATTTTGGYTTCAATCTCAGCTGTCAAATTTCAACGAGCATTAATAGTTCAGCATTTAAAAATATTTCAACTTCTTCATTGGCTTTCAGCTAAATTATTCAGCAGTAAACATTTACACTGCGTTTTTGCAGGAAATGCAATTTCTCTAGTTCCAGTCTGTCAGATATGTGATCTGGATTTCTGAAATGTGAGTCCTTACTCCATGGAAATGAAGCACTTTGCTTCATACTTTGTATTTTTATTTGACTGATCTTCATGACTTTAAGACCCCCTCCTTCAAGTTCCACTCCTCCTCTCCCCACCTGCTCCTGAGCTCCCTTCTAACACTAATGAAAGCTGAAGCGGTCCTAGATTTAATAAAGATACTCTGATTCAGCCAGCTGCAGGTCCACCTGGGTCAGCTAATCACTGCCTACATTTAGAGCCATTTCTCCTGCTGTAAAGCAGTCTGGAGGTGGATTGCCTCTCTGCTGCCACAAGTCAAAGGTGAACTGCTGCCTGGGGCATGGATTCTTGTTGGAGGGCATTTAAATGCTCTCTTTTTTTAAACCAAAGTATTTGTCTTGTAGCGAAGAGATCATGACCGTTCCTGGACCTRTGTAATGAGAGATTAAAGACTTATTTTTTCCTTTTTTCTGAATAATCTCTTCAGCGTTTTTCACTTTTGGCCGCYCAGGATCATTTTGTTCCTGTTGTGTTGGGAACACTGACGAAATGTCTCCAATGTTCAGGCAGGCTTTTATTRATTGACATCTAAGATGATTCAGTTTGTTTGTTCTATTGATGGTATGTGCAGTCCTATTAGGTTTTCGCTGCTGAACGCTGCTTTGTCATTTTAAAATAAATAGTCATCTGTCAGGATGGAAAATAGTGCGACACAGATGTTTTGATTGGCCAAGTCGCTGCTTTAAGTTTGAGGCTCCAAACTGGAAAGCTGCAGGCCTGTCAACGCTGTTTTTTATCACAGTCGATGAATAAAAGTGCCAAAGAAATCAGGCTCTTTTTTTTGTTTCTGTTTGGAGAGCTCTACTGGATTGACTTATCTACCTTGTGTCTTTATTTCTTTAGCACCCTGTCAGCCCTGCAGTGATGCTGAGATTCTTCTAGCAGTCTGCACAAATGACTTTGGTAAGTTGCAGTCATGTAATAAATTATAAGCTTCCTGCTGCGGTATGGTGGCAAAAACAGTCCCAATAAAAACACAGCTCTGGTTTCCATGAACTGTGGCTCTAAATAGGCTTTAAATCTTGTCTTTTTTTTTTTTCCTCCCAGCGGCACGGGGCAGCATTAGGAAGGTGGACCAGGAGGAGGAGCACTCGTCTGTCATCGTGGAGATCAGTCGCCTTTACAGACAGAAGACCCAGGTCTTTGCATCCGGAGGTGTGAGGGTGCYCAGCTGGATGGGCAGCATCAAGATGCCCCTGCAGTGTCGGGTGAAGTCCGGAGAGGGGGAGTTCCTCTTCACCGGGACGGTGAGGTTTGGCGAGGCCTGGATGGGCTGTGCCCCTCGCTACAAAGACTTCCTGCGGTTGTACCACGAGGCGCAGCAGCGGGGGACCAACCCCTGCCATGTGGACACGGACTGACACAGGAACGCAGCCCGTCCACGTTGAGCCGGGCGGAGGGAAGRTGATGGACTGACAAAGAGCCTCGCTTCCTCTTCGGCCGTTCGCCCGAAATCACGTGTGCAGCTCCTGAACGTTGCCAAGCAGCATGCTAGCAGTTTCAAAGCTGGAAGGTGTTCAGATTTTTTTCATAACACAAGGAACTGCGAAGCTGAAAATGTAGCAAAACCCATTTTGTTTTGTGTTTTTTTTTATGTGTATAAAATGTGAATGAATATTGTACATTTTGAAGCTCTGTGTGTTTTGTAAAAAAAAGCTTGATGTACAGATCAGTGTTTGTTTCTGACGACAAATGTTTTAAAGTGAAAACTTTTTTATTTTGGTAAAAAAAAAAAAGAAAGATTTGCAATCAATTCCTGAATTATTTGTTGTTGTTTTCAGGTTCAATGATTGTAAAAAATAAAATAAGTTTTTTTGTTCTTGAGAATAAAAGTTTTTATTCATTTGCATATAAGTTTAAATGATTAGTAAGTAATGAAAGTTAAAACTCTGAACATGGCATRATTTCACATAAAAAAGCAGAAATATAATGATGGAAACTTCTCAGTCAACCTTTTTTTCCCCCCAGTGCAGTCTATTAGAATTCAAACCCTGCCATATGATGTGCATTAGCCTCCACACCTCAGCCCTGAGCTGCCAGAGGTACAGAGGAAGATTGATATCGGAGTCGGGGCGGATTCCTCAGCGCCGGTTCCTGTGGTGACGGGTCGGCCGTGTGTCAAGGTCAATGTGAAAGGCCTCTTTGTTCYCGCAGGGCAGCTCGGTATGACTGAGAGGTCTGAATACGGTGCTGTGACCAGGCAGAAAGTAGGACCCTCGCTCCTAATTCTGACTGGCGTGTAAACCTCCCTGTTTCAGCTGAAGGCCTGTCATCTTCAGGAGCTGAAATAAAAGCCCAGGTTGACAACAGTTCACTGGGACACTTAAGATGACATCCAGTCCCCTCGGCCTCGGCTCATTAATTTGCTTTTTTCCTCTTCGGCACCTAGAATGTCTTTCAGGTTGCTGCCCTGAACAGAGGAGTGCTTTTCCAGACGCCTTGAATCGACTGTCTGAATTCCAGCTGACAGCCAGACGTCCTGGAATTGCTCACTGGGAAATGCAAACAGAGTTTCCATGGAAATGCTGCCTTACTGCAAACGTTTTTGGCTTCAGCCTGGCTTTAAGATGTGGAGTCTTAAAGGTGGAGGATGAGTGGACCTTTACTGGTCCAGTTGTTTCTGCTCGCATATGGGCTTTGATTTGTCAGACAATTTACTGGGTCTCCATCTTTCATGTTTAGGTATGCATATCTGTCATAAAAATAAGCTTAGTACACAGAAATGTATTTAAGTGATTAATATATCCTCTAAATACTCTAATGGAAGCTTCAGTCAGTTTCTTTTAATGTTAGGAGTGATGCATCCACCTGACAAACACAATTATCTGTTTCCACTATTTATTTGGTGTTAATCACCTTACTGTAACGCATTATAAATATAAAGTAATTCAAGTTTATTGAATTTTAAAGACAAGAGCCAGAGGACCCCAGCAGTGTGTGTTGGTCCGATACTTCTATCTCTTTGGGAAGTGCAGGAATGTGGGGAATGTGGTGACTTCACACAGATGGATGTGCAGCCACCACCCCGATGCTGCTGCCTTGATTAGCCAGAATCAATAGAGTCTCTGTGGTCCATCTGTGTGTGTGTGTGTGTGTGTGTGTGTGTGTGTGTGTGTGTGTGTGTGTGTGTGTGTGTGTGTGCCTGCCTGCAGCGTGCACGTGGCCCACACCCCAGCACACACAAACACATCGCCCCGGCAGCCAGATAGCCACCACCCACACTGAGACACAACTGAGTCTGCAGCTGTAGTTTCAACACCTCTGATCTGACCTGAAGGAAGTCCAACGTTCTTCTGATGCTGCCGTCACAAGCTTCAACACCCCCCACCCATCCCCGAACAAAATAAATTAATTTAAATATAATTTGGTTATTTATACATTCAAAGAAATTAATATACTGTATTAGGTTATAATCTAAAAAAAACATTTTTATTTTATGTTACACGCTAAAAATTTACTGTAAAAGTTTATGCACATTAACATGTATTATATGTGCAAATTACATGCATTTCCTGTTTCGTTTTGTGTACTGCGAAACTTACTCCTGCATTCTTATTGGAAAATTCATCTTCAAATTTCTCTTAGTCACTGTGACGATCTGAGCTGAAAGAGCAGGAAGTTCTGATCTGAACCTGTTTAGTGTTCTTTCACTGGACTAAACAAAGCTTTAATCAGTGTGCATTGCCAATGRAATGCACACTATTGTGATTCGTTTCCCATCCAAGTCATCTCCACTTTGGCACGCTTCTCCTCCTGCATACTTTGTCCTACAGCTGCCATTGTCATTTATATCTGTAAAGCTCCTGTGCCAAATGATTGCTATGCCTTTTGGTGCCTGTACAACTTATACTTTTTGAAATATTAATGTTTAAAATCATACAATGCCAGTCAATGGAGCCTTGTATTGGTCCAATACTGCCCCTTGCTGTATATACTCAGTACTGAACCATAGTTTTAATAATATTTAAACTCAGTAGTTCAGTGATTACAATACTAATATGATTGTGTTTTGATGTTTTACTAAAATATTGTCCTWATATTACTCTATTGTTGTAATATTATGCATTTCTGTGTCAACAATTGCATTGGCAATATGGCCTCTTTCTGCACACATACAAACCAACCCCTGCCACCACCTTCTGCCACAGCTCCATTGGTCTAATGATCTAACGGTRTATGTCATGGACTTTCATGTGGAAGATCAGGGTTCAAAACCCAGCTAATGCAACTTTAATAACAAATCTCTTCAAATTTCATATTGTCACTCAATTACCTTAATTCTAAACACCTGCTGACGTGACAGGCACAAGCTGGTATAGAAAACATATTTGAACTTGGCCAAAGTTCATTCTGCAAGTCCAATGCTGCAGGCAAAGCCATGCTGCAATGACATGCTACATGGCAATGCACACTTGTTTTTACATCGTAAAAACCCATGTCTAGATTCCATCTGGCTTCTGTTAATCTTTAGTGGAAAAGTTTATTCTTCACAGACTGAAAAAGGTTGAGGTCAGGGAAAACAGTGAATAGTTTGGCTCCTGTATCTTCTGTTATTATCAGAACCTCAGCAGCTCTTTAATTGTTTTACAGCTTTTATTCTAGCTAGCCATTTTGGTGTTTATGGATTCATTTTGTTAAAACAAAGTTAAATAAAAAAATTTCATATCATAAAGAAGACATAGCTTTTAAATCCTTATTTTTCACATTATAAATTACTCAGTTGGCGTCTATGTAAATAGGAACTGCAATTCCTGGTTAGGGTTATTCCTCCTTACTGTAACTCCACAAGCCCCTCTTTCACCCCTTTTCTGAGGCGTGTCTCAGATTAACTCATTTTGAGGCTGTCTCTTTAAATTTAAACAAGGCACTTCAAACCCCGCCCCGTTTCAGAGCGGTAGCTTGATAAAGGGGTTTACGACTAAATAGCGGCGCAGAAACCTTTTGTTTACATGTTGACCTCAGTCAGCGTCTGACCCAAGACTAGAAACTCGTTTAAAAATTCTGTCACAAATAATTTGATGCAATAGTTCAGAAAACGTCATAACAATCGAGAAAACTGAACAGGTTGAATAATATGACCTAAAAAGTATATAAAGATATCTTTGCAGCACCAGGAGAGGCAAAATTCAGATTTTCTGCACTACAGACTCCAAGTAAACAACAAAATGTATTACTGCCTAATAAGCGGATTATGTCCCTTTGAAAGGAGCTCGTTTTGTTAACTTGGACTTGTAATTTAATAATGAACCACTTTAATGGCAGAGGTTTTAGTTTCTACTTTTGTCCCATCTACTCAGCATAACCAATCCGTTCTGCTCGGCTTTTCCCATCATGCATGAATTAAATAACTCTGTGCTGCTGCGCTTTATCTTGTTCTTTGTTTGTGTTTTTTTCTCCCCCAGTTAAGGACAGATCAGATTAAAATTCCAGTTAAAATTCCCAGGAATCTCCAGTGGGTCACGAGTTTCCCGGTTACGAAACACTTTACAGTTGCTTTCTTTGCGCTGCCTTTTTTCCAGTAAGGTGGRATGCAGGATTACGAGCTGGGTGCCAGTGTTGCATTAAAAGGGCCTCAGTGTTCAGTGTTGTATAAAGTACCACAAAGTGATACTAAGTTAAGATAAGTACAAGTATCTTACCAAAAAATTACTTTGGTAAAAGTTAAAGTCTTCTTTAGGAATTTTACTTGATTAAAAGTCTTAAAGTATCTGATATTTTTTGTACTTAAGTATTAAAAGTAAAAGTATTGATTTAAAATGAGCAGTTAGATTTTACATAATGAGATTTATTAGGAGGTGACCTCCCCCCAAAAATGCAGAAATAACTATGTCGTATTAAAATAATTAATTTATGTTAAATTTAGGATGCACTAGTCTAACTGTTTGAGTTTATATACATATATCAAGACTGCCCAAACCTTTCCCCAAAATGAAAATCTATCTGCAATGCAATAATATAATTCATGAAATATAAATACTTCTTAAGTACAGTCCTTTTATTTTAATGATTATGTCCTGCTGGAGTGTGACATAATTAGTTTGTGTACAAACTAATATGGTATCAGAGTTTTATATATTTATACTTCTCATTCAACCACAATTAAATTCACTCTACTTAGAAGGCACAGTTTATATGGAAAGTATTATTTTTTTACAATAACAAACTGGAATGAAAACAAACAAAATGAAATAAAAGTAACAACTTTCTATTTCTCACCTTTTTTGAAAATGTAAGGAATAGAAAGTACAGATAATTGTGTGAAAATGTAAGAAGTAGAAGTAAAAAGTAGGCTGAAAAATAATTACTCCAGTAAAGTACAGATACCCAAAAATTCTACTTAAGTACATTAACAAAGTATTTGTACTTAGTTACTTTACAACTCTGRCCCTGTCTCAGTATCAAGCCTCAAAGAGGATTATGGAATCATGTGCTTCCACTGAGAAAATGTACATGAAATAACTGAACTGGGTTGTTTAGTTTCGTACAGCAGAGACCTTTGGGATCACATTCAGAAAATACAGTCGCTTTACCAGAGTGAAAATAAACTCGCAGGCATGGAAAACGCAGCGCAGCTTTATCATGTAGATGCTTCTGTCTGGGCTGATGTCTGTATTACAGTTAA